TCTATCTATCTATCTATCTATCTATCTATCTATCTATCTATCTATCTCAACTTGGGTTAAATGGATAGTGTTAGGATCTAAACACATTAAAACTCTAATATGCCTGGAAACAATTAGGTCAGTTGAAAAGTTACGGAATGTCCAATAAAAAATATTTGACCCTTTTCCCATGCTAAATTGACATTATGGGGAAACGGAACTTTAAAAATTGGGGAAAAGCTGGAGATATGAAAAAAAATGGATGAAAGCTAAGGTACTGGCTTTGAAACAACTGATAGAGGAAAATGAATTTTTAATATATGCTGTGTTAAGAGATAAATAAATTAAAATATTCCAGAGGCAGAACCTCCTTTATTCATAGTTTGTGCACTCAGAGAACCTCTCTAAGGATGACAAGTGCAGGAACAATACAATGTCAAGTGTTAAACACCAGTAGAAAGTGCCACATAATTTCCCTCCAACTCTTAGCAAAGAAACCAAAGCATAATATGACTAAAATTCCATCTACAACTTCAAAAAGCAGATTAGTAAGAAACTGACACACAAATATGGACGAATAAGTCTTACGTGTTGTGACAGTAATAGACACGGGATTTCCTTCACGATTCCCAATCAGTGCTGTGACTTTTACAGTGTAGCTGACTCCTCCTTCCAGGCTTTCTAAGTCAAAGGAATTAACATTTCCCAAGACCAGTTTGCTGCTCTCAGGTCCACCTTTAAAAGAAGAGAATGTGACCTCGCTAGTGAAAAAAGACAACCAAAGCCATGCAAAGTTATTACAACCCACACTAAAAAGTAGAAAGCTTGATCACAGCAACAAGAAGTCTCTCTTTTCTTTAATTCTACATTTTCTTTCAGCAAATAAGAAAAACTTCAGCTTCAAAAATCATGTGTTTTTGATTTATGATTGCTTTGTTTTTCCACTCCTAGAACTAAGATGCGCAAATTAAGACTGCACTGTAATAGGCATTCAGAATGTGTGTGTGTGTGTGTGTTCAAGGTTGCTTTTAACATTCATAGGGATTTAAAAAAAAAAACTTAAATCTTCATTTCCTTAATAAAGCTGTGATGTCAATTATTAGCTTTTCTAATCCATGGCTTGTACTGTAATTTCCCCTCTGCTAACATTTCTAAATCCAATTGCAAAGTTGTGATAAAGTAATAATTGTTTCATTGTAAAATATAAAATAATTATAATTAAGTAATATGTAATAATTAACTCATTGTAATAATGAATTAATGTATATTAAAAGTATGTGTTTGCAAGATTTTTTTTTTAAAGTTGCTTGAGTATTCCCTGCTTCCATTCCCAAATCTATTTTAGAACATTTTAACTACCTCACTTGTTCCATCATTGAGATTAAAACTACCATCAGTTTGCCAATAATATAACAGGCTGCACCAATTGATAACCTCTCCCAATGGCTATAAGTGGTTATGAAAATAAGGGCACTCTACAGGTCAACAGCAAACAAACATTTTCTTCAAGAGGCCCACAACTCCTCACAATTATTGTGAGGAAACCAGAAGCAGAAGATCAATAAACTTCGGTAGCTTCCTTACCGCTAAGCTGGCTCCACACCACTCGATATGCTGTAGCACCTGGGACACCAACCCAAGAGATGCGTACCACATTTCCCCTGGACTCAAGGACTCTGAGACTGGTGACTGTTCCCACTGGCTCAAAGCCTTCAAGGCAAAACAAAAAATAATGATTGGTAATAGGATTCTCACGGTGTAGCAAAAAGGGCAGAAAGATATGCATTATCTCATCTGCAACTACAACTGGTCTCACCTGTTGTAACTGTGGTGGTAGCTGATCTCCCTTCTCGGCTGCCAACTAAGGCTGAAACCTCAATGAAATAGACAGTTCCAGGCCTCAGACCATCAATGGTGTAGGCGTTTATATCAGCTGGTAGGACTCGAGAGATCTCTTGACCTGGAGAGGGAAAGGGTGTATTCAAGATGGAGGCAACAGATTACTCATACAAGGAAGAAAAAAGTGGATTCTTACATCTTAAAACCACCAGAGTACAAATCAGCCAATATATGCTTCTAGGCTAATAAACAATCTGGAACTCAAGCACCCTTTTGCATTTTTTACTGTCATTCTTTGATCAGAATTTGTGCTCACAAAAATAAATATCCTGGAGAAAATGTGCACTAAAATCCCTTGATTAGCAGAAATTACAGCAAACATTGTTTGACATATGATGGCATATGTTGCCTTGGGTTTCTGAAGAATAGGTGGAATATAACAAATAAAATAAATAATATGTATACCGTACTAACCCATTTCTTCCTTTATTTGAGTTTGTAGGAATACAAAAACATGTTTGTTGCAGAAATGAAAATGTCTGCAACATGCCTGTTTCTGGACGAAGTTTTGATCTGTGCTCGCTGCTGGAGCGCACCAAGCCAGCTGATTTCAGGGCTAAGCCACCTCGTAGAGGTGGTTAAGAGAGGGGAGACTGCCAGCAGTGTCGAGGAGAGTCGCATCTCTCCTCCCCAGCTGGCCATTACTCCCTTTCCCGAAGGCAGTTGCAGCGGTGGTCAGAAATGGCCACCTCAAAGAAGAACTTGACCGGAAAAGAATGTGCAGGAGGAAGATAAGAAGAGAAAGTTTTGGCTGACCAGATCAAACTGAATAACAACAACACAAGGTACCCTGGAATTTGAATTATAAAGTACCCTGGAATTTGAATTGTTCGCAAAGAAGACTTTGAAGCGGTGAATGAGAGAGGGAAGGGAAAGGATTTGGTTTTTTTCTTTTCTTCCCTATATTGACAACTAAGAGATTTAAGCAAGAAACCTGCAAAAATCCATTTTGACATTAACAGGTATTTAAGCTGAAAATAAAATGTCAAGGGGATAATAAAGATTTCTGGATTCTCAAAAACTTTTAAAAGAAGGAAAAAAACAAAAGGGTGGGATCTGGAAAAGTTCTGGAGACCACCTGGAAGTGAAAGGAATTAACAGTGAAACTTTAACAAGATTCCTAAAAGATACATTTTAACTGAAACTTTGTAACAAGATAAGAGAACCCCAGGAAGAGAAAGTGGAAAAAAGAAGCAAGAAGAAATAGCTTTGGATTATTTGGATTACTTGGTGATTTTTGAATTTTTGGCTATCGGATCTAAAGGATTAAAATTAATCGGGTGGTTGTTTAAAAGTTTTTAAAATGGTATCACTCTTGGAAGAATTGAGAATGGAACTTAAAGAAACAGAAAGAAGATGCACAAGAAGGAAGAGGTTCTTTTGGCTTCATATTTCAATGTTTAGAAATGGAGATCCTGAATTATGCGAAACAACAAGAAATGCCTGTAGAACAAGAATGGAGGGACAATGAAAAAGCCATCTTCAATGACTAAGTATTTCTATGTGGGGAAAAGAAAGGAAAGAGAGTGAAAAATTTAAGAGCTGAAAAAACAACCCAAAAAAGAATAGTTTGAAAAGTAATTATAACATTAGGAAGAAACAGAAGAGAGGATTACAGAAGAGAGAATCAGAATTAAAGAGAGAAGGGGTCAAAAAGGGAAGGGAGAAGAAGAGGGAGAAGAGGGAAAGGAAAAGAAATTATAAAGGACAGAAACAGGGCATAGAGAAACAGGGAAAATGTACAAGACACAGAGATAATGAGTGAAAACTTAATTGAAAGGGGGATTCTGCAAGGGTACATAAGATGGTATTGTTATATTAGAAATAGAAATGAACTTTGAAAATATGAAAATACTCATTTAGTGCATATTTTAAGAATGTACCAAGCAGAATTCGACTGGAAGTTATGTGTTATATTGAATGTTATAATTGTAAAGGCATAAATTGAAGTTTAAATAAGAGTTGAATGGATAAAAAATAAAAGATACAAAGGTGTCATACTCCAATTAGTAACTACAGGGGAAAATTTTGTTTAATGAGGAAAGAAAATAAGAAATTGAAACGGGACAGACAAAAGTATAAATATAATGACTAGAAAGGTATTGAAACTGAGAAAAAGATATATATAATTGAATTTAGAAAGGAATGAGATAATTAAAAGTAAGATTGAGAAAATTAAGGGAAGGGAAAAATTATTGAGAAAATGTTAAAACAGTAATAAGATATGGAATAGAACACAAATATGAATATGAAATTGAATTTGTGTCTCTATGGAGAAGTGATAACCTAGGACCATGCTATTCTCAAAAAAAGAAATGTTACTTGTATTATGTTTTATGAAAACCCAAATAAAATTTTTATAAAAAAAAAAAATTCAAAAGTTGTAAAACTCAAATCTGGCAACTAAAAAACCAGGATTTTCAGTAATATCTACATGCTACAAAAGCATTCTATGGCAGGCTAAATGTAAATAATTATATTTGCAATATAATGCAATATAAATTTGGCAAGATGCAAATTTCATGGATGAAGCATCTCATTGTACAAAAAAAAGAGTTCCATGTACATATAAGGGGAAACAAGGAGGGGAATGCTGCTGTCTTAAGAAATGCGAACAAAAAAGCAGAATGGAAAGGAAAAAGAATCAGCACATGGCCAGCAATAGAGTGATGGATAGCGTATTACATAACAACATTCCCTGATCTGAGAGATAAAATCATAGCTAATACACCCAGTCTCCAGAGTTTCCTCTTAGCTAATTAATTTTATTCCTGACAGATTCAATAATGAAAATCAGATCACAAGAAGATACAAAACACAGATGCCTAACTTTTAATTTCTTTTCTGCTATCATACACAACAGGAAATCAATATTAGAAGATTTTGTTAATGAGAATCAATGTTCCGTGATTGTTTTTATTAGTACATTAACTTCATTTTCAAAATGTCAACTGAAAATGAAATATTAACTACTTTATCTGATACAAACATATCAATGGAGGTGGTATTCAGCAGGTTCTGACCAGTTCTGGAGAACCGGTAGCAGAAATTTTGAGCAGTTCAGACAACCGGCAAATACCAGCTCTGAATGGAGATATTACAGTATTCTTCCCCTGCCACATCCACCAAGCCATGCCCACAGAACTGGTAGTAAAAAAATTTGAATCCCACCACTGCATATCAACTAGGTAGACTATCAAGATACAAAGTCATTTCTTCATCGGCAATTACAATAAAGACGAGAAGGCATGGAAGGAATATTATTTTTCATATTCAGGATATAAACTACCATACTGTACTTCAATGGAACATGTACAATTCAAGGCTACAGTACTAAAATACCAAGGCTGTTGCCTCTTTATAATAAAATGTATTTCACAGATTGCTAGAGGATAACTAACCTTTGAGGACAAAATATCCAATTTAATTTTTCTGTCTGAAACTTTGTTGCATTTTATAATCCCCCAATTTATTCAGAACTGACAGAGAGATAAAGCAAAAATTATCTATGTATCATCTCAATTTCTTGGATGCAATTTCTCAGGGTGTGGAGAAGAAGGATGAAGGGACTGATGAAATCTTTCAATTTGAAATCTTCTAAGACACAATGAGAAAATGTCAAAATATGCCATCCACTGTGCAAAAAGGAGAAACAGATATTTTGGCATTCAGAAAAGTAGCAAGCTGAAATTGAGCTGGCCTTCTCTAATAGGAGTGCAAGTTTCTCCAAGAAAAGTGTTATTATTTTCTTGTAATTATTCATGTTAAAGTAAAATATATATTTAATCTTATGCATCTTAAGGCTATGTAGTATCTGGAATTTGAAACAGAAGAAATGCTTTGGAGCATATAGCACCTATTAAAGATAAAGGTAAACGTGCGAGTCGTTTCCGGCTCTAGGGGGCGATGCTCATCTCTGTTACAAAACTGAAGAGCCAGCATGTCCGAAGACATCTCCGTGGTCATGTGGCCAGCATGACTAAATGCTGAAGGCACATGGAACGCTGTTACCTTCCCACCAAAGTGGTCCCTATTTTTCTATTTGCATTTTAACATGCTTTCGAACTACTAGGTTGCAGAAGCTGGAACAAGTAACTGGAGCTCACTCCATTACACGGTGCTAGGGATTCGAACCGCCAAACTGTCGACCTTTCTGATCAACAAGCTCAGCGTCTAACCAGCTGTGCCACCTGTGGAAAATTGTGACAATTAAAAAGATATGAAAATTTTGAGGGTTAAGGTTTTAGTAAAAATATGAGTTGAGTTGGCTTATCTTCAGAGGGGTTTATACACAATATTAATATGTGTGTATGTGTATAAAATCTGTTATATAATTAAAATTTTCTCAAAGGGGAAAGTCACTAATCCTGTTTTAACATGTTTTGCAACGGAACAACAATTCAGTCTGTGCTTATGAATGCTTAGAAATATTTTAATGTTAAGCGCCTTTTGCTTAGAAGTGACAACTAACTGCCTAAATAGTTCTGAACTGCAAAGAGATGAGCTTGCTCAGAGACACAGATAAACTCTAGCATTTTATCAGATTACTAATGTTTCCTCTTCGAAAATTATTTGGTTTTGGCAAAGTTTTAAAAGCTTATTAGCTTAATCTTTTGAGTCCACTGACTTGCCTCAATGGCAACTGATCTGTTTTGTTGTTGTTGTTGTTGTTTTAACAGGAAGCCAAAAAAAGAAAAAACCCAAGTAGAATATTTTTTAGTCCATAGGCAAGTATTAAATTCTGCCCAGATGCAAAATTAATCTGAAGGGAATTCTCACTTACAGAAGTGTAGCTTATGTCCCAAGGTTACCACTGGCGGGGGGGTGGGGGGGCATCCAACTTTCACAAGGATCCAGTAGGAAGTTTAAGTTTCAGGGCCAAGCTTGACTGGGTTTTAGGAATATTTTAATTTGCTTCAAAGTCACATGGTTTAATAAATTGATATTTATTAAAAACAACTCTGTAGCATTAGAATATGCTTTCAGAGAAGGCCTTTTTCATCAAGATGGTCCTGTCTCATTCATGGAATGAAATGAAATGAAATGAAGATAAGGACATCTTCTATTTGTTACTTTTCAGTGTTTTATCTCAATTTCTTCCATACTTTTTTCTTTCCAAAGCCACTAAGGAAGAAAAGCTGGAACAGTAGCACTAATGTTAGGAAAAAAGATGGTAAAAAGCTCTCCAATAGGAAGCATCCAAAATATCTCTGGATTTGCATTTTGTTTTCTTCCATCCCTGTATTGCCTTGACATCATGCTACCACCACCCTTCAATACTCAAGCAGAATAAAATCCAAATATGTACAATTCAGCAGTTGGAATGCCTTATTTTATGACTTGTCAAAACTCACCCTCTCTCAATCGCCATTTCACTTTATAGCCCGTGGCTCCAGGAACCCGATTCCAGGTAACACGCAACTGATTGGGCCCAGATGGAGTTGCCTCTAAGTTGCTGATGCTACCTACAGATGGAGCTTCTACAAGATCAAGCATAGAGAAGAAGGAATGATGAGTATAAACCAGGGGTCTTCAAACTTGACAGCTTTAAGACTTGTGGACTTCAACTCCCAGAATTCCTCCTTCAGTCATGTTACTCAGGAATTCTGGGAGTTGAAGTCCACAAGTCTTAAGCTTGACAAGTTTGAAGACCCTTGGTATAACCATTGAAAAACAACAAATGGTTATTATTTGATATGTATTATTTCACATATAGTATTTAGAGTTGTTCTTCCTGTTCTTTGTGAACATTTCCTCAAGGACCTGTGCAACCAACTTGTCAGAGAATGAGGCATTTTTTTCAGCCCTTGGTGGGGAGCTGAGGTTGAAGCATCCTACTTTATCTAAAGTCCTCAGCTATGTTTATCTGCTTCTCCCATCCTGATCTTTCTGCAGAACAAGGATAGAATAAGTGCCAAAGACTCGTAGTTCACAATTCTATGTTTTTAATGAGGAGCCCAGAATTGCACAGTTGAAGCAACCTAAGTTTTAAAAAACATTAGAAGGAGCATGTTCCTGCCTTGTTACTGCTGCATCAAATCAAGATTTACTGCTAGGCCTTTACCAGTCATAATGACTGTGCTGTATTGAAGAGGTTTAAAAAAGGTCACAATACAGTTGACAAGAGAAGGAGGCACCCCTGGCTTCAAAAGAGAACGTACCAACTTGAAAAGTAAGGGTGGCAGGAATGCTTTCTTGGGTGCCCAACTGTGTTGTTATTTGTACTAAGTATGTGACGCCCTCCTTCAAATTTTGCAATTCAAAGAAACTCTGGTCTCCAGGGATTCTTCTTGTTTCCTCTGATTGATCTGAAACAAGATGCAAAGGAAGCGAAATCAGCCTGTGGTAATAAGGGAAGCTATAGTAAGCACCGTAACCCCATCTCTCCATCTAAGTTGGACAAAAACATTATTTTTCAACACTGGTCATATACTCATCTTCAGATCTTTCACATTATATTTTTTTGAATTTTATTATATTCTTACCATATTTTTATTTTTGGGATTTTGCTATTGTTTGTTTTAATCATAAGGCACCCACAAATGTGAGATGCAATCAAGTAAGAAAGTAAGTGGTGTGTATGTGTGAAGCACTTTTACTATTTCCCACCATTTTCACTCTGGACTTCCAGGTGATCCCTGTTTCTCTCCTCATTGTCCTTCAAACCTTAGGGCATTTTTTCCCCCATCTTCATAAATGTTAAGGGTTGCAAAGTCCAGTTGCCTTTTGAAAAAGCAACTTTGGGACAACCGTAACCTGGATGACTGAGAATCTCCAAAGACATTGCTCTTTTAACTCAAATGACTGCAAACACACATTCATACCCCAGAATTCTGTTCAGTACTAGGAAAGACACATTGCATTTGCTTATTGGATTAATGTATAAGTTGTAATTACTTAGTATAGTATAATTACTATAATTACTTAGTATAATTGTGTGTTTTTTACATAATAGGAAACCAAGATTCTTCTTTATACTAAGAAAACAGTGGCTTGTTATTGAAAAACCCAAAACGAACAAACTAAATCATACTGTGGCTTAGTGTTAAGTAAAAGCCTGACCGTTGAGGTACTATTAATTAAATAACAGTTATATATAAGCAAAATATAACTACTGCTGGTATGAAACCACAAATAACTACTGTATAATTAATGGTAGCACTTAAACAGTAAGCACTGTTTTCACAGCTCCAAAGATCATGGTCAGTAGCCACCCTATGCCATTTTTGCCATTCCTTACTAGATGAAAATTACACCCAGTAATCAGTCAGCTAACCTTTGACTTCACTTTTTCTCCCCTCTCCTCTTAGACCTTTAAAAAAACTCCAATTAACTCTGCTGTTTTCTCTCATTTTGCTTCTTCTCCAAGTGACTCCCTGTTTCAAATTCCCTTTATCAACTCCTTTACTTTTGGGGGCCAATTACTCTGTTTAGTTCAGCCTGTCCCCCAGAGTTGCTGTTGGAGTGGAGCAAAACTGGAGAATGGAGCATTTATGTATGCATCCTTGAGTGATGCAGGATATGAAAGGCGGAGGGAGGAAGATAAATAGATAGATAGACTCTTCTATATTCCCACCTCCAACTTGAAAAATGTGATCTCCCCCTTTTTTCTTCACTAGGTCCTTTTCTGCTTTGTACAACTTGAATCCTCTTGCATCAGAATTATCTAGGCATGCAGAAGGTCCTTACCCTGAGTATTGAGAATCACCAGTTTATAAGCTGTAGCCCTGGGAACAGGATTCCACAGCAGCCGAATGCGACCCAGTCCCACTGGCACCATGCGCAGGTTTGATACACTGTCCACTAATGGTGGTCCTGCCACAGATGAACAGATAGTAGGATTACTGGAAGAATGTAATAGATGGCTTGGGCTTATAGAGAGAACAGTTGAGTAAGTTCTTGAAACAAAGAGGCAAACCTCTGGCTCCTTTTTTAACATACCCATTCTAATAATTGTAATAACAATGTCTCTTTCCCCCCCTCCCCTATAGTGTTGCTCTACATACATTATCTGAGGACAAAAATATTCTCTTTATTAGAATATCAGAAGGTGAATCATTCCAAAAGTTATTCCCCATGGGGAACAAGACAGCAAAAGAGGCAGTGGAGCCTAGAGACAGGATTAATACACTTACGGATTCCGACGTTGAGAGAAACGGCATTACCCTCACGGCTGCCAATAAGAGCTGAGACACGAACCACGTAGGAGACATTCTCTTTCAAATCAAGTAAGTCCTCTGTGGTCTGGGAGCCTGGGATACGTCGGACCCTCTCAGTGCCGTCTACAGCAGAAACCACAATAGTTGCAAACATGAACTCATAACTATGGCTTTCTAATCCAAAGACTGTTTCATAAAAATAAATCTTAGATTTCATGGTCTTTGGATCAGGAGAGAGGAGAATAAACTACGAGTTTCATTTGCCACAAACAAATCACTGCAGCTTTCAACAAAAGATTTGTTTTGCTATACTCTTCTACTTAGGTGTGAATCATCTCAGTTTTGTTCCTACTTCCATTATTTCCCAGGTACCATCTCTAATAGTTATCCTTTCATTTCAATGTATGCTGATTAGTGTACATTTAAAGTGACCTATCCTATCCTACTTTATCCTATCTCTATTCTCTCTACTCCCAATGCTGATAACTTGAACAAGTTTTGAGGATGCTTCTTCCTTAGAACACCATTAAAACTCTTTAGTTTGGTAAAATACCTAAATAGTTTTTCTTTAGGTAACACATGAATCCATTATCTAATCAAAATAGGAACATTTAAATTGACTTAAAATATTTTACTTACATTGGATAAAAAGGGTTTTTTGATAAGTGGTTTTGAGTAATAAAGGAAAAAGTTTGAGATGCACTACTTAAATGACTACAGGTGATGTTTTATCAAGACTCTATAACGTGCAAGAAAGTATCCCTTCAGAATACGCTCTTCAACCCCGAAAAACAGAAAAAAGAAGGATGTTGAAGAGGGACAAGATGCTCCAGACAAGGGGTCGCCAACCTTTTGGACCTCAGGGACCACCAAACTCATAATTTTAAATCCCAGGAACCACTAACTGGTTATGTGGGCGTGGCCTAATTTGTGGGTGTGGCTTGGTAGTCATGTGACTGGCTGGGCATGGCTTGATGTAAACATTATAAACATTTATATAAATATTGAATTTTTTTTATAAAAAAAGAGCAACTTTTATCCAAAATCAGAAAAAGCAGGCAGGCAGATTGAGTTGCTTACAGAATCATTCAGTGAATTATCTAACTGCCATCAGCTAGCTCAGTCTCTCAAATTTGCTTGCAGGGAGTCTGCACTGAATAATAGAAGCTTCAGTCCTAAGGGAGGTTCGGCTGGGCTTAAAAGCAGAGCCAAAGATCCAAAGACTAGCTAGAAAGCAAGAAATCCAACCATTTCCTGCTTCCTAGCTAATCTAAATCTCCTACCACAGCAGAACAGCTGATGGGCAGAAAAAGGAAAACTAACAATTTAACAGACAAGTTTGCCGGGTAAGGAATGAGTGGGCGGGGAGGGTTCCCGCGGGCTATGTGGGATGCATAGCCTTGTGTTTCTGCACAGCCTGGATTAATTGCTTTGGGGGGGTGCTCTGGGGGTGAGATTTCTGTGCGGCCCACCAAAATTTTCTCACAGCCCACCAGTTGGCGACCGCTGCTCCAGACTATACTTTGTTTATTGCTTGGAAAGCCTTTGTTCTTCTCCTTTTAGTACACTTCTGCTCTTCCATCTGCTCCTCTCAATGGATACTTCTGGATTTTCAGCAAGCCGCCACTATCAAGCCACTCCTATCAACCAGCTGTTCCTGTGTGCTCACCTTGCATATTGCGTACTACAATCTTATATCCTGTGGCTCCTTGGACTCCTAGCCATGATAGCCGGACTCTGTTTCCTATAGTCTCGATGATCCTCAAGTTGGAGATGGTTCCCACTGAAGGTGCCACCCCTAAAAGAGAAATTTCGACTTTCATTCAGCAAAGATGATGTGAAAACCAAAATCTTCAGCCAGGAATGTGACTAGCTGAATAAAAGGGAGCATGAATTTCCTCTTTCTCACCAGTCTCTGAGATAGTAACTGGGGTTGCTACTTCTTTTCCATCATACAAAGTGTAGAGGGTGATATGATATTCCGTGCTTGGCTGGAGGCCACTCAGAGTATAGCTGTTCTCATTGGTGGGAAGAGAGACAGATTTGAGAGAATCTGCTCCTTGAAATCAATACAAGATAGAAATTAGCATTGACCTTTATGGATTTGAAAACAAGTAAGTATTATCCCTATATCTCACTGTTCTGACATAAATACTTGAACTAAGTCTTTGCCTAACTTTCAATTCTCTTCAACATTAAGGCATAATCATAGTTCATTCCCTCCCCAATGTATCCAAAGGCATTATATTTTAAGAGGGAAAATAGAAACAATCAATGGGTTTTTCAAAAAAATAAATACTATTTATAATTTAGCATCAAAATGAAACGTAACAAACTAATGAACTTGTTTCATTAGTTTCTTTCATTAGTTTCTTTCATTAGTTTCTTCGCCAAACCCCAAAAACTTTAACCTTAGACTGTCTACTATTGACCTCACCCCTTTCCTAAGAGGTCTGTAGGGGGCGTGCATAAGCGCACCAACGTGCCTACCGTCCCTGTCCTATTGTTTCTTTTATTTTTCTTTTATTTTTCTTATATGTACCCATTTCATGTATTCATAACTATGTATACACTTATACTTATTATCTTGTAAACAATTGACAAATAAATAAAATAAATAAATAAATAAATAAATATATGTGAATAACACAGAACAAAAATAGTCCAACTTAGTGTCTTTAGTCTCATTTACCACCGAGATCCAGGTCACCAAATTCCATCAAATTTTGCAACAATCATTCTCTTTAGCCAATATTCCCATCACTTCTGGCTTTCTTAGATAAGGTATCAAATTATAATAGTACATGATGAAGGATATCAGGTTAGAGAAGTTTATTCTAAACTTTAAAAAAAATGAAAACTATATTCTTTATAGAAACTGCTCTGGAATTATATCCTAGAAATATTTGAAACTGACTGGGAAAGGAACAGATTCTCTCCATCCACAATTCCTATAACTTCCCTGCCACTCATTGCACAAATTTAGCCAGCCTACCTGTTGCTTTTCTCCACTCCAAACGATACCCCCTAGCATTAGGGATGATATTCCAGGCAACCTTAATTGATGTTGGGTCAACAGCGATAGTCCTAAGAATCTGGGCTATTTCTAAGAGCAACAAAAATAAATAGTAAAGTTCTGGATTATTAGGAAAAGTTCTAATTGCCTCTCATTTATTACAATCTTTGGATCCAAGCCTAATCACCATGGGACAAAGTTTATTCAAAGAAGAGAAACAAGTAAAAATCTATACCCAAATTCACTATTACAGGCAGTCCTAGCACTTTTTCTAAAGATGGGCTTGAGCTGAGCTACATAAATAATATTCATATGCTGACTTGAACACACCTAGACATCTCTTTGTTCCAGCTACAATTACCATATAATATCTGTTGCATTTTCTCTCCTTCCTTTGAATACATAGTAAACAGTATGCCATCTTTAAACTTGAATCAGAATACTTCCCTGAATCAATTTTAATGTTTGATATCTTAATATTTAACATGTTATGCTGTAAAACAGCTTATAAATGGAATGCTAACAATTATTCCATAGTACATATTTTACCTGCAGTGATAGTTATTGTAACAGCAGCAGAAGTAGTACTATAGTACCATTAGTAATAATAACAAAAACAATCATCACCAAGTGCACCTACCTGTTCTCCTCCTAATGGAGGCCTTGGGACCTTCTACCTGCCCATAGAGTGGTGCAACAGATACTAGATAATCAGTGTTAGGCTGCAGTCCTGTTAACAAATAGGAATTCATGCTAGCATCCACATCAGCTGTTTGACGACCCTGACCTAAGAAATTTCAAAATACAAAACAAAAATGCAAAGAAGCTGTTAGCCATTATCCATACAGAACATGCATCTGTGAACTACATGACCACAAGCTGAATTGCAGAAGTCCACCTTTTTTACTTTCCTTTCACATTTGGCAAGAGATCCTTAATTCTTCACTTCTCATCATATCATTGGAATGATATTGCCTGTAGACATTGTCATTGCCACAAGACAATGTCCTTTTGGGTACAGTGGACTTTTAATACTACTCCTAACTTCTTAATCTATTAATTAACTGGAAATGAATTATATTAACTTGGGAGTATTCTAAATAAGGAACATAGGAGTTAATTACTAAATTTCTTGGAAAAATAAAATAAAATCATAGGGGTTTGGACAGTTTACCAAAATTTATCGAAACACTTAAGAGTCCACCTTTTTCAAATTTTGAATTGTGGATAGGTGTCATCACTCCATCCAAGATTCATAATCAGTTCCTTATTGGACTTTCCTAATCCATGTAAATAAACTTGCACATTAAAAGGTTAAATACATTAATTTCCCATCAAAACCAAGAATTACAGAGCTATAGTGTGGTGGAATGTAGGCTGGATTCCTAGGAGGGAGGGGCTGTATTCCACTGGGCCACGAGACAGCAAAGTTTATATTGTTTGGCTGGGAGAAAGATAACTCCTCCCTAGAAGTTCTCAGTGTACAATGATGCAATGTTGCTTTAATTTGGCAAGATTTCAGTCTATAGGTGAGGAGCAATAACGGAAATTGCTTAGAAGTAATTTTGTGTCTTTCTTGAATTTTGGAGCCTGACATAGTGATTTCTGGACAAACCTATAACTTAATTACACAGCAGCCTATTTAAAAATTATTGTAAAAGTATACTTAGACTGGAAAACCATGCATATCAGGACTATCTCCCGCCTAGAAGATATATTAATTCATTACATATGGATAGAGTGCGTAGTGTGTATCTTTTAAATATTATTAAATATTATGAATATAATGCTGAATACATATTTCAGAAAGAAACTATTCATATAATTTGTACCTTTCTATATCTCTGTGTATTTTTGTGTTTTTGTGTGTAGTATATACCTGTTTGTGTAGTATTATAATGCTATTTAGAGCCTGAGTTAAGCTATTTTCAGGCCTTTTTCAGGTCTACATGATTTATGTTTGCCATTAAATGGTCCTGTTTCCATTGGGGTTTTTTTCATTGTAACAATTGGTTTTTTTAAAAAAAAAAAAAACCATATAGATGTTTAATTAGAAAACTGTCCCATTTGTTATTCAGAATGGAAATTTTGATATCTTCAAAATCATTTCCAGTCTATGGAGTGGGTAGTATAATATTTACATA